ATGTTAGTCAGAGAAATAATAAAGTGTTCTCTCTAATGCAAAAAATCTGTCTTTGGTCTTTGTTGTTATTAGTGAACCCACTTGCTGGGATACAGCAAATGTATTTTCAAGCCTTAGCCCTTTCTTTCTTTATTAGGACAAATTAATTTTTAAATTAAATCTAGGTACAGAGACTTAGAGTTTTCTACAACAGAAGAGTGTTACTGAAGGCAAGCTGTGTAATGCTCCTCTTGGCATCAGAGTCCTCCTGCAAATAATTTATTTTTACTTACAACATCTGTTACAGCTCTCTCTGCCCAGTATTGCTGACCTATCAAAGCACCTGGCATCCTCTGTCTTCACCCCTCTTTAACTGGTCTTTACCAGTAAACTTTACCATGGGCCATATCACCACTGGAGATCTCAAACATAATTAGGATCATCCTCACCATAGTCTTGGACTTGGGAAATAAAACCTCCTCACTTGCTCTTTCACAGAGAGGAGATTTGAGACCCTGAATTTAAACATACTGGGTAGCGTCCAAAAAGTCTTTGGCTGAACCAGGAACTGACTCCAGGTTCTCCTATCTTGAGATAGGACTTAACCACAACCTAGTACAACCACCAGACAGCGAATTGTTTTAGTAGAAACTCATTTTAATGAGTATGGATAACCTTGTGGTGGATACCACAGAATATAGACTAGAATATATATTCATTGCCAGAGAATGAGTCATTCCTTTCCCCATTTCATCCTCCTACCTTTTTTCTACTGTCTTTGCTTCTAAATATTAATGCTTTTTCTCCTCCCTCCCTTGCTAAATAGAATTAAACTATGTAAAATATTGCATTATATTGTGCACAGACACAGCGTTTAGGTTACTTGGCTTTTTTTTGGCGGGGGGGAGGAGGAGTGTCTTTTGAGTGGGAACATGCTATATATTAAGAAAGGTTCAATCCTCCCCTCCGGGCCCATACAAAACTGCAGGTGAGGTGAACTGGCACCACCATGAGCCATGATACAAGAATCCCAGCCCTTTCAACAGCTACTGCTTAGCCTGGCAGTACATCCTCAAAAGGCAACTCATTAAAGCTGAGGGATTGTATCTCAGGCGCCCGTTTGCTTGTTACCGTGTTTAGCCCTTAGGCTCCAGCTTGCCAGAAGCGTTACCTTTTCCTGTCTTTAGCGTTCAGGTTCAAAAAGCCCAACAGTATCACTTCACAGCCCTCTTGGAGGGGTGGTTCAGGAGGTAGCCTAATGCGCACAGTCACAGTGTGAATCACTCACAAGCTATGCAAAGTGATAAGATTGAGGTTTCCTAAGTTATTTCAACTCCAGCAGCTGTTCTTCCATTCTTTTACTTTAATTGCTACTGATTAAAACCTCAGTTTGCATTCCTGACTTATACTCTAGACCCAGCCCATGGAGAAGATAACATGACCTTAAGGCATCATCTGATACAAGACAAAGATCTGGAAATAGCAGCAGAAACCAGACTGGAGAAAATGCGCATTTGAGCTCAACATCACAGTGCGTCAAGGACAAGGCTTGAAGAATCAGGTGTTAATATAACCCTGTGAGTCTACACCTAGCATATTGTTTTAGATGTTGCACAGCACCTGCCCACTGAAAACCCAGCAGGGAGATTTGCTCAAATATGCCAAAGACAAAAAGGGGGTTATAGCAGATAGTATACATAGAACACGGTTTTGCCATTCTCTACAGTCATACTTTGGATATTTTAATAGGTTTGCATATGATGAGGAAATAAGCCCATTTTATCTTGTTTCACATGTTCAGAGCCAAAAACATTTTATTATACACAGTAGAGGTATTGTCAGCTCAGGATCAGAAACTAGAGTTTGCTTGCATCCTCTCTTCAGCTGTATCTTCCAGTGTTGTGTCCAGTGTGACTGTAAATAATTCGAGTTTAGGAGCTTAACATTTGTTACAAATTTTTCCATTATTCAGCCTAAGCTCCCATTCCCTTATTTGTATCCTGTTACTCTTCGTGATCTCTCAGACCAGTCTAAATATCCACACACATAAAAAAGGGGAAGCAGGCATTTGCTTTACACGTCCTTAGCAGCTGCAGTTTAGAGCCAATACTGTAAATCCCCCCAAGGTATCAGGGCCTTCTGCACATGCACACGCCCTCGGTCACCGGGCAGGCAGCACCGTGACCATGAAAAGGAACGGGGACACCAGCTGCAAATACTGTGCTCGTCGTCAGGCTCTTTTTTCCATGATGACCATATATTCCCTCCAAAATTACACAAGGCCCTCTCTTACCTATGCCTGCGTTTTGCAGTCTCTAAGCTGTAATCAGCTGTGGGACTATGAGCCAAGCTGCCATCACTCACACCTTGACAGGTGTTGGCCTCAAAAGTCCCTGGCCTGCTCTTGCTTTCTGGGGCTCAGAAGGACACCACTACTGCCTCAAATGTATTTAGACATCGGGGAGCCCCTGTAACTTAAATAAGAGATTTCAGGTCTCCCTCAGTTCTAGAGAGATTTAAGGGCATTGTTTGACCCTCAAAAATATGTCTCACTATGTGTTCACCA